TCAATTTTATAAAAATTAATAAGTTCTTAATTTTTTGTTTTAAACAAAAATACCAAAAGTGATTTTTGTTTTGGAATTACTTATTTTTTAATTAAAAATTTTTTTGGAAAAAGTTTTATTTTATTAAATTTGTGTAAACAAATGAAAATTTTTTTTTAACATTTGGGACTTTTTACATTGTATTTTTATGACCACAAACTATAAGAAACCGTCATAAAACAAAAATCGATTTTTTGGTCGGTAACACCCTTTTCTCAGACCTGGTCACATGTAGATTATTTTATTAAGACTTGTTGGTAAATGTTTAATGAAGATAATTTCTCTATTCAAGGGTTTTGTAGCTAATTACTTAAAATTAATTTTAAATTATTATGCCTGACACAGGGCTGGTTTTAGAATCAGCTGTAAATTTAAATCTAAATTCAAACCCTACAATAATTAGAATTCTTAATTGTTGATATTATTAATCAAAATTCCTCACATTCAATTAATTACAATTCTTATTATGCGAAAATAGTAAATGAATCCGTAATGCTTAATAAAATAAAAACTATTTTTTAGATTCACAGAATGTCTTAATAAAAAATGATGTAAAATAATATTCTTCATGGCGGAGGGCGGATTTTGAAATTTTTGTTTAACCTTTAATGGGCATTTTCCTATTAAGAATTCCATAAGGAACACACATTACAAAAATAATTTATTTACTGGTCAGATGTGCTAAATAAAACACCGAATCAAATTTTACTAATAATATGTACATGTGAGTATTGTTTTTGAATTTTTTTAAAGGGAAGGTGGGGCGGGGTAGAATAAATTCTATGAAAAAATACATATTCTTAAGAATATTTTTTGACAATGCAGAGAGAGAGAGAGAGAGAGTTTAGTTATTTAATTAATTTTCATATAATAAAACAAAATTTGAACAACATTATTTTAAAGCCTAGGATTGTATAACTTTTTCGACTTAATACCTTCAATAAATTTGATTTTCAATTTAAAAAATATTATACGATTTCTTGTACTTTATACTGTAAATTGAGACTAATTGTGGCATTTATTGTCTTAAAAATGATTTTTTATTTATCATATTTTATGTATCCAAATAATCGTGTTATTTAATTAATTATTTTGTGTTAATTAAATTATATTGGTTTTGATTTTAGTCGTTTTTTGTTCGAATACTATTTTTTTATTTACATAAAAAATATTTACCGCGTCGATTTTCATTTTTTTTACTAAATATTAAAACCGTAGTTTTCATTTTTGAGTATCAACTTTCCTTTTCTCTCTGCTGCAAAATGCCTTTTGCAAAAGTAAAATATACAAATGTATGCAGATATCACAATTCCTCAAAGTCTTATGTTAAATCAATTTCCGAAATTCAAATCGAGGGACAGCAATTTGATCCAAAAAGGAAATATAAAACGAAATGCATAGGTGACAATTACAAATGGTGCGACGCTATCATAGGACGCATAAGTCAAAACAGTAAGTAGTTTTATTGAATTCAGTTTTTTTTACCTTTAAACATTATTAATAAAAAATTGTATAATATAAAAAATTAACCTATTAACGATAAAAACTTAACATTTCTTGTTCATTTCGATGTTAAGTTATTATAAATAGTATCGTTAACGTTTTGCAACAAAATGCCTTATCAATTGGTTATAGTGGCGGACAAGAAATTTTTATAATTATTTAATACTCCTACATTCTGTTAAATGTTTAACGTATTCCTTATTAATTTTATTGCTATTGAAAAAACATCATTTTGTACTAAATTTTTTTACGTGTACCAACAAAAATAAGCTGGTCAGAATATATTAATTATTTTAATTTTTCAGGACAGGAATTATGGAAAGAAAATATACGTTTCCCTACATTAAGTTTGGTCAAAGGTGATGAAAGCTCATCAGAACCTGATGATGACACAGATGATGTTAGTTATAAACCATATCTTATTATGATCTTTTCGTAAAGGCATTTTTTTATTATTATAATTATTTATTCTTTTAACTTTTTAATAAATTTAAAATGTTAAGAAAAAAATTATATTAATATTTAATAATAACAGGGTCGAATGTTAGGTTATGGTGGGCCTGGGACCCCCGTGGTACGTTCGGCCCTGAGTAATAATAATAATAATAATAATAATAATTAATCTTATAATTATATTTATTAAATTTATCAGCTACCAGTGGAAGAGGAAGAAAATAAATCTAAGCGCAGAACTGCTTTTCTAAGAACGGTGTTTCCTCAACGATCACCGAAAAAGAAATATAACAAAAAAAGAAATGATGACCCTGATTACGATTATCACGATGATGAAGATGTTAGGATGGTGAAAGCGTTAGAAAAAAAAAGAATTAAGTAATTAATCTTTAACATTTAAAAAAAATTTATAAAAATACCAGAAACATTTTTACCAACCGATTTAAATTTTATTATTCTGGTGTATTTTTACGAATAAGTTATTAAAATAATAAAGCAAACCTTTTTAAAATGGATTTTAATTAATTCTTTTATTAATATTATTTTGAATAATAGGTTCTTAAATTTCGCAGTTTTAACGCTGAAATTAGATTTTTTGTAGATTGATTTAAAATAGTGAATGAATATTTATTTTTTGCAGTATTATCACAGTAAATTTGTTTATTTTAGAATTATTTTAAAAATCAATAATAAATTTTTATTTTTCGCAATTTTATCAATAACTTTTTAGTGTTTAAAAGATTACTTTAAAACTGAAGTTTTCGCCCGTTTGCCTAATTTTTATGTTATTAGTTAATAATTGATATTTGTTATTGAAAACGATTCACGATTATAGCCCTAAACTTTTTTAAACTTAGGTATTATTTATAATCAATAATAATAAATAAAATGGATAGAAAATTTCAAATATTCCAGTGTATTATTCCTGGACTGTATGTGAAATAATACGTGCTATTAAGGTACATAAAGATATTGCTTAAAAGGATTAAAACAAAAGAATAAATACAATTTTGAAAAAAATTAAACTTTAAAAAGTTTTTTGGTAATAAATAATACATAAAAAATGAAAAACAAATTTAATTTTTATTGTATTAAATTGTCTTTATTGAGTGTAAATTTATATTGTCTATAATTTTAAAGTTGAATTCATATATTTTAATTAATTTATTATAATTATTGAAAATATTAATTTAATTTATCGTAAAAAATAATTAAATTACGACTTATAACTTATTTCATTATAAAAAACTAGTAATATTAAATGCGCGCAAGCGCGCCAAATTGACTGTTTCATTATTTGTTATAGAGAAATTAAAAATTAATATTATCAATAATTATTTAAATTTATTAGAATGTTATTCCATATTAAATGATAAAAATAAAAATTATATGTTTATAGGCCTCAGATTATTAATTATTAAATTATTAAATTCAAAGTCTTTTAAAATTCAATTATTTTCCAAATTTTCAATTTAAAATCAAATGAAATTCAATTATTACCCAAAATTTTCTATTCAAAATCAACTAAAATTCACTTATTTTCCAAATTTTCAATTTAAATTCAAATAAAATAAAATTAATTTCTAAAATTTCATTTCAAAATTAATTATCAAAAATCAACTAAAATTGAATTATTATTTAAAATTGTAATTGAAATTTAATTATTTTCCAAAATTTCAATTCAAAATCCAAGACAATTCAATTATTTTCCACATTTTTAATTCAAAATCTTTTAAAATACAATTATTTTTCTAATTTTCAATTTAAAATGAAATAAAATTCTTCAATTATTTTCTAAAATTTCTATTCAAAATTAATTATCCAAATTTTCAATAAAAAATGAACTTAAATTAAATTATTATTCAAAATTTCAATTAAAATTCAATTATTTCCCAAAATTGCAATTCAAAATCAAAGAAAATTCAATTATTTTTAAAAATTTTCAATTCAAAATCAACTAAAATTCAATTATTTTCTAAATTTAAAATCAAATAAAATTTAATTATTTTCTAAAATTTCAATTCAAAATTAATTATCAAAATTTTCAATAAAAAATCAACTAAAAATGAATTATTATCCAAAATTTTAATTGAAATTTAATTATTTTCCGAAATTTCAAATCAAAATTAAAGAAAATTTAATTATTCTAAAAAATTTGAATTCAAAATTAATTGAATTTTCAATAATTTGAATTTAAAAGCATTTAAAATTTAATTATTTCTAAAATTTTCCATCGAAAATTTTTTGAAATTTAATAATTTCAATTATAACTCTAAGGGAATTCAATTATTTTTAAATATTTTTATAATATTCTTTGAAAATTCAACTATCTGAAACCATTTTTCAATTAAAAATGATTATCAAATTATTGTATTTTGTTTGTAATTTCTAATAAATTTTTTAGTGAAATCATCAAAAATTTAATTAAAATCACTTGAAGTTGAATTAATTTCTAAAATCTCAATTTTAAATCTTTTGAAAATTCAATTAAATTTAAAAAATGTTTTCCAAAACATTTTTTGATAAATTATTTTTAGTTCTGTAAAATTTTATTATTGTTTGAAAATTAACAATATCTTTTGAAATTTAATTATTTCTAAAATTTTCAAGTTTAATTTGACACAAATTTGACACGTTATAAGATTACTATTCAAGAAACACGTGAAATCATAAAAGACCAACTTCAAGTTAGGACAGAAGGACAGGCCAAGCATTTTATTATTATATAATTAATTAATTAATTATCGAATATGTGAAGTCAAACGTTTACAGATTGTGTCGTCATCAATTTTCATTTGTTTTTTTTCGTTGTCAAAAAATCAATAACCATATTTTTTTCTCGTGAAGCGTCTGTAGTTAATTTTCTGTGTTAACTTTTTACCACATCTCGTTCGTGTTATTATTGTGTGGTTATTTTAATTATTGTTCCATTATTTTTGTTGTTCTGTTTACTTTTTAATTATATTAGTGATATTTGTTGCTTTGTGCCCTTTTCCCTCGGGAAAATGGTGTACACGGGCCAAATGTACGCCGAAATGATATTACTCTATGGTGCCAATAATTTTGTCGGCGCTAGGGCAGCCCGGGAATTCAGTGAGCGTCATGCCGATTGGCCCGTCCCAACTCCAAAAGTAGTTCTGGACGCGGTGAGAAGGTTCCAAAGTACAGGAAATGCAATGTCGGACCACCATGAGGCGGGTCGTCCTCGAATAGTCGTCAATCCAAGGAATCGCGAAAGGATTTTGGAACTGGCGGCAGCGAATCCGGAATTGGGGATTCGAAGAATGGCAGCTCAATTGAATTTGTCCTATTATGCAGTACAAAGAACATTAAAGATGGAGAGATGGCACGCGTACCACCCGACACGTGTGCAAAATCTCCATCCTGGAGATACAGCACATCGTTTGCGATTCTGCAGGTGGATTGTGGCGGAAAATCGCAGAGATCCAAATTTTCTGTTCCGAATTTTGTTTACGGACGAATCGCGCTTCGGCAATGACGGGATTTGGAATTTTAAGAATTTTCACTATTGGGCGCCTATAAATCCTCACATGACATCAGTGAGAGGATTTCAACATCGATTTACGATCAATGTCTGGGCCGGTTTGATTGGTGATCGTCTGGTAAGTTTTTAGTTTGAAGTTAAAAAATTATTAAATGTTTAAAAATAACTTAAAGTTTGTAACATTTTTTTTAAAAAATACTATCATTTCTCTAAATTCGAAAAAATAATTTAAATTTTAATTTATAGTTATTTTGAAAAAAAATTATTTTTTAACCTTACTAAAAGTATTTGGAAATTTTAGATTGGTCCCTTCAACTTCAGGGGAATCCTGACAGGCGCCAGGTATAATAGGCACATGCTACAACAAGTGACTCGTCGTCTTCGAAATGCTGGATTTACCGATGAGGAGATCCGTCATATTTGGTACCAACATGACAATGCGCCTACCCACACGCATCGAATGAACCAAGCCTGGCTTCAAAGGCGTTTTAGAAACCGATTCATCGGTCGAGGTTCAAGAGTTCCATGGCCGCCACGATCTCCCGATTTGAACCCTCTAGATTATTTCTTTTGGGGAAAAATCAAGAGTGAAATATACCGTCATCCAGTCCAAAACATGGAGGAATTGATGGAGTGGATTCGAGTGGCTGTGCAGGCTGTCCGAGATGATCCGGCAATGATTCGAAGAGCCATCTATGATTTGGTCCACAGAGCAGAACTTTGCATTCAACAAGGAGGTCACCAGTTTGAACAACTGCTGCGTTAGCGTAAGTAAAATTTGTAAATAAAATTACATTTGGGTCTGCAGAATTGTTAAACTTTATTTAAAAAGAAATCTATTGCAGAGAAGTGTCATTAAAAATTAAAATATTACAATTGTTTTAAATAAAAATAAAACAATTATTGTTTTCTAGGATTTTGACCTTTGAAAAAAAAAGAAAATCCACGGAATTTCCTTTACATGTACGTCGCGAAGTAAATTGATCTTCAAACGATAAAAAGGCCGACCTTGAATTCTTTTCTTCAGCAGTTTAAGTTTACAATAATTTTAAGTTCAAATTTCTTGAAATTAAGTTATTTAATAAAATCTTAATTCTTCCAAATTCTTTTTCAAATTTTTAATAAAAAAAAACTATTGCAAGTTAAGTATGTTCGATAATTTTAATAAAGTTTTTTAAAAATTCAAATCTTTAAGAAATTTAAAAAATCTGTGAAATATAATTATAGTCTTAAATGTGTAACAAAATCTTCAATTAATTTGCAGTTACAAAAAATTATAATTAATTTCACTGAATTTTAATTATTCAAAAAGTTAAAATTTATTTAGTTTAAAAATAATTGAGTTTTAAATTTATTAAAATTTATAATACTTGTGTGTGTAACTACGCCGAAAGGTTCATATTTGTAAACTTTGGCATTTCACTGAAATTAAGAAAAGTTTATTATTCTTTATTAATAATCGTTTCTAATATTAAGAATTAATGCTAAAATATATTTCTTTAAATTTCATATTAAAATTAAAAATTATTTAACACTGGAACTCGTTTTCTCAGAATTATTTCTATCAGAATATTTAAACTTTTTAATATCGTCAATAGGTCTAAAAAGAGTGTTTTCATCGAACGACGAAATCTTGATTTCCTTCTCCATAAGTTTTACCTAATCAAGAGATTTTAGACTGAGTTTGATTAGCAGCGAGAGCGTTCTGTCTGTCTCTGAAAGTCATCAAATCCCATCGAGTTGACCAAAGTTGATAACGGCTTATTTAAAATTTTTCTTGTGTTTCTCAGGATCCACGTAGAACATTGATGTCGATTACTGAAACTACTACCCTATGGTGACTCTTTTTGAATTCCGATATTTAGCCAAAAAACAATTTTCAAGGATTCCAACTTAATAGAGAATCTGAAATATATATTAATTCGACTTATTTTATTTACTAGTCATTGATTTAAAACTTAATAACAGTTTTTAAAATTGTTACCTAAGCCAAGCGTTTCTTTGTGACGTTTTCGTAATATTCTATCTGTCCAGACGGGTTGACGGCATTTTTTACTGGTGCCGTAAGAATTGAAAATTAAATTTTAATTATATACAGGCGCAAAAGTGATTGAACATTTATAAAATTTTTGATAATTTTCAGGCTCTCATGTTACATTTATAATCAATTGCGCGAATACCAAATTTTTTTTTAATCTTCAACAATATTTAGGTAAAAAATGGTTGCCACAAAAAGTTGATTATAGAAATATATGACTTTTCCAGCTTTTCCAAAATATTTTAAAAGATTCCACTCTCAAGTATAATTTTTTTATAAACTTCTAACCAGTTACAACAAAAATACAAAATAATTTAATTAAATTACTAATAAATATTAGCATTAGAGTGCGAAAAATTTGACTGTTAAATTTCATCAAAATATTTAAGAATCGAGTTACAATAATGTCAATTTCTGAAATCCACTTTATAAAATTTCACTAAATATGAAAATGTTTTGCTTTTAAAATTTTAATAAGTTTCCATAAATTTACGCATTTGTGGTAACCCTGTTATTGCTTTTTTTACTTACTAAAAAATAAAAAAAAATAAATTTAATTAACAATAAAACAAAATAATTACTCATCGTTTTTTCTGTGAATTAATTTTTTGCAATAAATTTTGAGTAATAAAATTATTTAACTTAAAGATAATTATTTGCTTTACGTTTCGATAAGATCAAATTTCTTTTTAATAAGATTTTATAAAATAGAATTCATTAATGAATTGACTTTTTTAGCGAAGATTTTTTATTTATTGAAACTTATGTAATATTTTATACAATAGGTTATCTGTTTAGCGAATTTTTATTTATCAATATTTTTAATTGACATCATATTTATCTATAACAGAATTTTCATAGATTTTTATTTTTAAAAATTTTTTTAATTAGAATAAAATGATTTCTGATCGTTACGATTTCTGGTGCAGCGTCCTTTAGAAAGAAAATTTCCTGAAAAGAAATGTTTTTTAATATCTGAAAATTTTTGATCTAACAGCTTTGTGATTTTCTGTAATGTAGGAATATTGCGTATATAATCGAAGAATTTTTTATATGTGCAATTTAATTGTTGAGTTTATAACGATGAGTATTTTTTTTTAAATAAATTTTAATCTGCATTGAAAAATTTTATATTTCTTATAGAAAAATCGTTTCTAACCAAATTAAAGTTATTAGTTTTAATGCAATTGATAAAAATAACATTTATATTCTTAATAAATAAATTTGTCACCCTTCAGGAAGAAAGGTGACTCAAAACCGTTTGATAAAAATACATTTTATGGTGAAAGTAGAAAGAGGCGATGAAATCTCAGTATAAATATTTGATAATTAAGATGTTATTACATTGTTGAAGGTAATGAGTAGCAACTTTTTTTACTTTCAGAGAATTCAAAATAAAAAGAAATAGTAAACATAACCTATAATTTTTTAGCTTGAGTTGTATATAATGTGAAAAACTTGTTTATGTAAAATACTTACATCTTCCATTTCTTTTTTATCATTTGAAGATGATCCAGAAATATTAAAAGAGATAGTTTGCATGATTAATTATTTATTATAATTAGATCAGATGCCAAAGTGCAAATTCAAAATTGTTTTAATGCTTCTGTGTAGATCAGCTGACTCAGTCCAGTGAAGGCTCGCCGTTCGCGCTTAGGGTTGATTCATAGCTAATCATTCTAACAGTAAAAAATTTGATTGGTTGTCCACAATTAGATTAATTGTTGATAGCCAGTCAAATTTGTGTATTTAAATGTAAACATATAGTCAAAGAATAGACTACTGTAACTCCATCCAACCATTTTTATCGGTCAAAAAATCATCAAAACAAAGAAGAAAAAGAATTTAGATACTCGATATTGCTAATTTCGCATGAAAAATAACTGTGTCTGAAAAAGGAAATTTACAATATATTAAAAATGTCGAGTAAGTATAATTTTCATTATAATAAAAGTTAAATATTATAACAGTAAATCCACAATAAACACTTTTCTTATGAAGAGTGGGACGCACATAACCTAAAACTAAAAAAAGGTTAACGTAAACAAAAATTAGTTTTAAGCATTTTGTTAAAGTTATATACATTTTAAATAAATTACGTTGAATTAAAACCTTCTGTAAAATAGTATTTTTTTAATTTTAATGTTTTCTCGGATTTGATAAAAATTGTAATTTTCATCCAATTTTGAAATTAATAACTTTTTTTAATCAGTAAAGTATTCTCTAGAATTGTAATCTGTTTTCAGTTATTAAAAGTATGTTGTTAAAAAATATAAAAGTAGTTAAGCTAGGGGGGTTCTGGCGCACTTACCGACAGTCGGTAATGTAGGAATCTACTTTACCGACCGAGTTAGTTCCGGCTGCCACCGCTAGATGGCGCCACCGGCCAATTCAACCCCCCTTGGCGGGAAATTTGAATTTTTAAAAGTTTAATTTAAAGTGGCTTGGTGTTCTACTTTACCGACCGAGTTAGTTCCGGCTGCCACCGCTAGATGGCGCCACCGGTCAATTCAAACCCTCTTGGCGGAAAATTTGAATTTTTAAAAGTGGCTTGGCATTTTACCGGACAATTCAAACCCCCTTGGTGGGAAATTTGAATTTTTAAAAGTGGCTTGGCATTTTACCGACCAATTCAACCCCCCTTGGCGGGAAATTTGAATTTTTAAAAGTTTAATTTAAAGTGGCTTGGCATTTTACCGGCAAAATCAACCCCTCTTGGCGGGAAATTTGAATTTTTAAACTTTTGTGTTCAAGTGGCTTGGTGTTCTACATTACCGACCGAGTTAGTTCCAGCTGCCACCGCAAGATGGCGTTATTTTATTTTTACGCTAAATTAAAAATTATTTTTTTTCTATTAATTTAAAGTGGGGGTTTTTAAATTTCCCGCTTAAATTACCGACCGAGTTAGTTTCAGCTGCCACCGCAAGATGGCGCTATTTTATTTTTACGCTAAATTTGAAATTATTTTTTTCTAATAATTTAAATTCGTTTGGAGTGGGAGTTTTAAATTTCCCGCTCAAATTACCGACCGAGTTTTGGCTGCCACTGCAAGATGGCGCTAATTTAATTTATTTTTTTTTAATCAAGTTAAAAAGGCTTGATGAGAATAATATAATTTTATAGGAAAAGTTGAAATCCATTGGAGGACGGAGACTTCACAACTGTAGTAGTGGGTGTGCTTCACAAAATGGTGTAATGTTAGTTTACTTTGTTCTTTAAATGGTGCTTCGTAATTATTGGCTGCAGCTAGATATACTTTTAGACTGTTGCGCCACCTCACTTTGCGGAAGGTGATTAATTTCTACCTTCTCTAGGTGGGTTATCCCCACTCCAACTCTTTTGATTCTCCATCTTCAAATTGTGCGCAACATGTGTAAAATATCTTTCTTTGAAAACGTGCCTTCGATATAGAAACATACAAAAATTTCTTTTTTTTCAATCATTTTTCATTAAATTAAATTTTTAAATATGGTAAGTAAAAAAAAATATCCAGGAAAATTTTCTTTTCTAATATTTATATATATATATAAATAAAGTTTAAATTAAATTTATAGAGTGGACATAATAATCGAGTCACGTGCACGTGTTGCTGTTGCTTCTGCAGATTCATATATTCAGAGAGAAATAATATTCCGATGGACTCATTATCAACTAATTTAATTGCATGTGAAAATCGTTTTATGCAGGTACATTTTTGATATTTTTTTAATTTTCTTTTATTATATTTATTAAATATATTAATGATTACATAACCTTAACTTTATGTTTACATTATATTTCTTACATAACCTTAACTTCATTTTACAATATATTAATTTAATCTTTTTTTTTCGTATTTTACTGAAAGAATGTACTTTTAATTAATTTTTATATACATATATATAAGTACATGTAAATTAAATGAATATTTATATCTATAATAAATAAATTAAATTTAAAAAAATTCTACGTTATAGACACCCAATCCTCATTGGCATCAGACAGAAAATCGAGAGACTCTAAGAAGAATAGATAATATTGTCAACGAGAGATTAAGAATGACATCATCTAATAATCGAACACAAACATTTTGTCAAACACCAGCACAATGTGTTCCTAGACAACCATCGTTTCCAAGGCAAACAGAACAGTCAATACGTCCAATGGTTTCAGTACATCCATTAATCTCTGGACGTTTTCCAGTACCAACGTATCCTAGACATCGACCAGTATCTACACATCCTGTGATTTTTTCTCAATCCGTTTCTCGACAGCCAACGTTTCCTGGACATAAAGTTGTCTCCAAACTGCCAACAGTTTCTGAAAATACATCAATTCTTAGTTCACCAACAATTCCTATTCAACCAACCGTTCCTAAGCCACCAACGCTTCCTATGCAGCCTACAATATCGAAAAATCTTACAGTTCCTACTAATCCAACAGTTTCCGAGAATACAAAGTCAAATACTTTATTGAATTCAATTCCCTCTGTGCAAGCAACTTCTCCAAAGTCAACGGCAGGTAACCGAAAACGAACAACTAGATGGGACATTGATTCACAAGAACAGTTAAAAAAATCTATTATTACTATATCACCTCCTACAGAGAATCCAATCGAACCTTACACTCCCACTTCAATAGAAACATATTTTTATACCCCTACACCAAAGTTGCAACTTGAATCACAATTTAAACCTTCTTCCGGAAAAGCTGATTCCACGAGTGACTCTTCCTCGACTGACTCTTCCTCAAGTGATACTGATTCTTCTTCAAGTAATACTGATTCTTCAAACGGGCCTTCTAAAGAAATTGTGACAAATAATTTGACTGAACCAACTCCAAGTCCTTTAAAAAAAAAAATTGAGAAAAACTCAATTAGTTCAATGCCTTCTCCAAAAAAAAGCAAAAATAATTCAAGGAAGTCGAGATCTGGAAAAATCATTAAGAATAATTTAACTGATCCAACTCCGGGAACTTCTGAAATAAACACCAAACATTTAATGAAAATGTCAACTGAAGATTCTTCTACGTCCTTGGAAGATATAAAAAAATTAAAAAATCAACCTTTTGATCCTCGGGAAGAAGCAGTAAGACTTGATAATATTTGTGCAAGAAAACCAACTAGACCACGCAAAACCAGTTCAAAAAAAAAATCAGATAACTCTGACCCATCAGTGTCGAAAAAAAAAGATGAGTGACGTATTGAAAATTATACTTCTTTAATTAAAAAAAAAAAAAAAAACTTTTATGTGCGGGACTGTTCGTTAATCAGTCGATTTAAAAAAATGTTATGTTTACAGCAAAAAAGTTTGTTGCGTTTCATCGTAATTAAAAAATACTTTTTATGTGTTTGACTGTTCGTTAATCAGTCACTTAAAAATTTCTTCTTTATATTTAGTGTGTGCGACTGTTCGTTTATCAGTCGATTTAAAAAAAATGTTTTACTTACAACAAAAAGTGATTTTTGCGTTTCAGCGCAATTAAAAAAAAACTTTTTTATGTGTTTGACTGTTCGTTAATCAGTCACTTAAAAATTTCTTCTTTATATTTAGTGTGTGCGACTGTTCGTTAATCAGTCAATTAAATTTTTTTTAAATTTAGTGTGTGACTGTTCGTTTATCAGTCGATTTAAAAAAAAAATGTTTTGTTTACAGCAAAAAAGTTTGTTGCGTTTCATCGTAATTAAAAAATACTTTTTATGTGTTTGACTGTTCGTTAATCAGTCACTTAAAATTTTTTTCTTTATATTTAGTGTGTGCGACTGTTCGTTAATCAGTCGATTTAAAAAAATGTTTTATTTACAACAAAAAGTGATTTTTGCGTTTCAGCGCAATTAAAAAAAAAAATACTTTTTATGTATGTTTTCGTTAAAAACTAAAATTTAAAAGTTTTATAAAATTTGGTTTATGTGAGATTTTCTTCGTAGGTCATGCAATTTAGCAAAAAAAAAGTTTTGTTTACAACAAAAAGAGAGATGGCTACACTTTCAGCGCAATTTAAAAAAAAAAGTATTTTTATCTGTGATTCATTAATTAATCACATAATTTAAAAAGAAAAGTCAATGTTACATTTAGTGTGTAAATTGCTTTTCAAATGATTTAATAAAGCAAATGTTACATGTTTAGAGTGTTTATCATTATTATTATTATTTGTTATTTGTTACCTTTCTTAATTCAATATACAACTATTTCTTAACCATTTTAAAATTGAATACAAATTATAGTAATTTAAAAACTGACTAGATGTTAATAATATTAATAATAATATAAATCTAATTTATTACATTAATAAAAAAATTCATTACAATAATTAAACTATTTAATATAATATTATAAATTATTTAAATAATTAAATTGGATTGTACTTGAATTCTATAGAATTTCATAATTTATTTAATTTAAAAAAAGGTTTAGTTTTAAGAAATTGTCGATCGAGAGAAGCTGATGGCGTATGAGAGAGAGAGAGAGAGAGAGAAGATTGACACATAGTGGGGACGCGTGGTGGGGACCGCCGTGGTGGGGATCGCTGGTATACAGTGAAGCCCGCCAGCCACCAGAGTCATTCATTCTTTCAGCTTCCAACAATTCAGATCAAAATAAATTTCTCCTTTCAGCTTTCTTTTTTTTCAGTTTTCATATTTAATTTGTCTAATATTTCTCATAAGCGTTTTTATCACATAAGTATATTTTTAGCAATTTAAATTTTCTTTTATAATTTTTAAAAATGGATACCCCTCATAACACAAAAAATGAAGAGGATGAGGACCATCCAATTATCGATATCTATGATGAGGTTCCTATAAATAATGATGAAGTCACCATCGTGGACGACAATAATGACAGTCAGGCAGACACAATTATTATAAGTGACTCTGACTCAATTATTATAAATGACTCTGACTCACAGTCAGATGTCTCCCATAATTCTGATAATGATTCAGACTGCTTAATAATAGACGTTGACCCAGAAGAGGTTAGTTTTCAAAATCAAATTTAAAATTCTCGTAAATTATGATTTATAAAAGAATATGTACATATTTTTTTCTTGTTCTAGATGTTAGAGCTTTTAGAAGAACTGCCACCAATTGAAGAGATGTACAATGTTATTGATGTAGATTTCAATGTAAATTTTGTTGTAGACTTTTTAAGACCTGCTACACCTTCTCCAAACATGTTACCAAATTGTGAAAACTAAATTTTATATGTGAAAATAGAGAAATTTTTTAATATTATTAGAGTATCAAATTTTTTCTATTCAAAGCCGAAAATATTTTGTATTTCACACCAATTTTGGTATACACCTGCGCCTGCGCATATAAGGTTGAGCGTTAAATCTGCGCGCGCATTATACGAGCGTCTTGAATTTATTGAAGGGGGCGGGTCATATTTGCGTGCGCATCACAATATGTGGTGGGGTTTATAAAAAAAGTGGGGTACCGATAATATAAGGCGATGCCGAGCCACTGGAGTCATTCTTTTTTTCAGGACTCCCTAGTATTAATAATTATAGACTTCTCACTCATTTACAGTACTTTTATTGCAGGTATTTCTAGTTTTAACTTTTTTCAAGTTTTTTTTTCCATTTAGCATTTTTATTTATAATTCTATTTTTAGCTATTACAGGGTTACTTTTTTAATTTCAGAGTTTTTTATCCTGTCTTTTATTTTAAAAAAATGGATCTCGAAAAAGTTAATGCAGTTGGTCGATTTGAAGGTTACCTGCCTACAAAACCTCTCGCAGAAATGACTAAAAATGGTCTTTATTATATCACCAAAATGAAGAAGGTTCAAACCAAATACGGACCGAGAATAATTGTTGAAGTAAATGCAGATTTTATAACATATTTACCATCGAGATTCGCCAAGCATTTTGACGATGAACCAAGCTCGCTGGAAATGATGCAGGAAGCAGCAATAGCCAAGCAGCTTCAAATGAAATATGTCGGAGGAACTTACAATATCGTTGAATTTCAATTTGTAAAATAAAAATTGTAAAATAAATGTATGTATATAAAAAAAAAATGTTGAAAAATACAGAAAAATTTTATCTATAAAATTGGTTTTTAATTTTCTTTCCTCTCCCTAGTAGAAGTTAAGTAGTAGAATAAGTTTATTTTCAGGTATTGTAAAATAATGTTTAATTTATTAAAAAAAAAGGTTTAAAATTAAAAAACAACATATTTTGAATTCAATGTTATTAATGTTTATTTTTTTAGAAACGTTTAAAAACTATTTACAAAAATGATTTATAATTTTCATAAAAACATTTTAACGTAGAATCAACTTCATCAGTTTCTTTAACAATACTACTTATATATTGGTTTGGAGGATCCAAAAACCAATCGCGAAGAATCTTTACATTTTTTACAGCACAATTATCATTATAAAGAGTATGATGCGTACATGTTAACAAATCACTTTTAATTTTTTTCAACGATGGACATTCAAAATCTTCTAAATTTTGTACATTTTGTATATATTTCTCAAGCCATGTCTTCTTTTCTAATCCTTTTACATAGATGATACTAGCGCCTCGTAATACATCTTGTAGAATGGGACGAAGTTCATCGTAAGAGACGTCTCCAGCTGTCCAATCTATTCCATGGTAATTGTGTGTTAACCAGCGATTTTCACTTTTATAGCGTCCTGGCAATGAATTCCACGTACAAGGTGATTCAAATAGGTAGACAAGTGGTTGAGCATCTGATTGAAGAGGAAGTATTGCCAACTCTTTGAAAATAAAATCGTTGTAGGGTCTTTTAAATCCTTGAACGTCCACAATGAACTCCATGTTGAAACAGAAATGAATTTTTGACTGAAAACTACTGCATTTATACCGAATTATACCCCCACCACTTTACCCCCACTCCTCTACAGCAACTTCTTGACGACGCCGCTGATTGGTTTATATTGTACAACGCGGTCATGAATAATGAGGCAATATGCAGTGGTCTCAGCTGGCATATTATTTCCTGATTCAAATTCTAAACGTACATCTACTGATGCTTGTTTAATAAACTCATTTTGTTTTGAACAATCAATAACAATTAGAGGAAATAGTTGTTTAAAAATAGCCCTTGTTAAAATAGGTTCTGAGTCTTTTCCATAGTAAGATGTTTGAAAATTAGCATACATTTCATAAAGAAGAGCATACTGATTTTGATCAAAGTTTAGATTTAAATTTCCATAAGGGTAATATTGTGAATTTAAAAATAGTTTAACATTTGTAATGTTACAATGATCAAAATGACAGGCATATTTTTTTCGTTTATCTTTTCTTGCTGTTTGAAATCCTACAATTACATATCGTGGTTTCTCCAATTGTGTTGATGTTTTTATTTGCCATAGGACTTTTGAACTTGTTGGAACTAACGGATACTCGTACATTTCCCATGATCGAAAACTTATTGAAATTAAAGGATCTTTTTCAATGAATTTTAATAATTTTATTTTATTATTATCAGCTGGTAAAACGTATGGTACCATCCATTCTAGTTTATTGATGAAAATTTTAAATTCTTCATCAGCTCCTTGTCCTGTTTGAATTATGGCATTAGTGTCATTACGTGCTCTTGTTAAAATAAGTTCATGTTTAGCGTTCATAAGAATTTTCTTATAATCCTCAGCAAAACCAAAAATCATGCCAAGTGGTATTGTAACATCAAAATATCCATTTTCTAAAGTAATTCTTGCATCAGCTGAAATTTTTGAAAACCCTGCATTCTCACTTAGATTTAGCTGAGGTGGAGTTAGAGATACTAAATTTTTCATTATAGTTGTATGTCCAACGTATTTGCATCGATCAATCTCGATACCATTTAATTCATAGCGAATTTCATCAAATAAAAAACATATTGCATTGCTAGACAAGTGCACGTTTTCTGTAACGGCAATACCATCATTTTTAGTCAATTTCCCAAATATGTGCAATGAACTTTTACTCGGTAGAATACATAAATCTTGATGTTGAACTGCAATTCGAATTTCATCACTATTGTTAAAAGAGGATGAAGCATACGGTTGATGAGCATGAATTTCATAATGAGCAATGGACTCATCAAAATTCACTGCTGCTGGAATGTTGAGAATTTCGTCCATTTTTGTTGCAACAACACCCAAAAAATATATAAATTATTTGTCTTGGCGTTTTCCTTGAGGTATAACTTTTAGACCTAGTTTTTTCAGGAACAGGCGATTCG